GTCTCAGAAAGGTGGCTTGCTCAATTGTGGCAGCCAAGAGGAACAGCTGGGATTTTAATGTCGTTTTAACTGAAGACAGAGCTTATTCTGTCTATGCAATTCCAGAATGAGATGTTCAGAACCACCTTGACCTCCAAGCGTTGATGGTAAGTGGTTTTTCAGTGGAAAGGCTCCATATGAAGCCTGGCAGAACAGCATCACAGGTAAGAGCACACTTTTTTTTTTTTTTTTTTTTTTTTACTTAGATGGACTTCGGGTCCTAATTCCTCCTTCACCTTGCTGTGTAATTTTGAGCAGTTTAGCCTTCTTGAACCTCAGTTTTCCAGTCTGTACAATGGTATGGTAAAACCTCCCGACAGAATGCCGTTGTAAGGATTTGGTGACATAAAGATGTCAAGTGCTTTGCAGGATATCTGGCATACAGTAAGCGTTTAATATCACTGAGATGCTGGCTGGGATGGAGTGTGGTGTTTCTTGCATTACCAATGCCCACCTCTAGAGGGAAGCAGGAGCCAATGAAAAGGGTCCTTGGGTTGTCCACAGTGGGCTGTTGAGTTTCAGGTCTCTAGGGACCCCACAGCACTTTGATCAGAATAAGAAAGATCAGTGAGGTCAAACAGGAAGGCTTCTGGAGCTGGGGGAGCCCTTAGGAGTCTTTCAGCTCAGGTGGGGAGACTGGGACCCAGAGAGGGAGAAACAGTGGGGTCAAGGCAAATAAGGGTTCTTATAGCACTTTACTTCTTGCAGCAAAGTGAATAGGTGTCCAGGAGTGATGGGGACATTTTCTATTTTAGCACAGAAAAATTACCCCTCCTACCCTTAGGCCTACCCTATGAGCCTCACTCACCTGCAGCTGGCAGTGTGGACAGGAAGCTGTCTGTGATGTCAATAGAGTGGGGGAACCAGAGAATGTGGGGGAACCAGAGAATGTGGGGGACAGTAGGGTTTGGACTGAACCACAAAGGCAGGGAGGAGGGAGGACATATGCTGACCCTCTTTCCAGCGGTCCAACCCTTTGTCCACCATGCCGCATTGTCCACTGTGCCTATCAGGTCGGCTGGAGTGGTTCTGCCTCACGAGTCTCTTATCCCTTTTGGATTAGTAGTCTAGCCAGGAGTGTTCTTCTTGTGGGGCTGCTAGAGGAAGACACAGCAAGCCCCACTGTGAAAACACATTTCTAAGCCACTGCTAGTGTCCTATCTGCTGTGTTTTCATTGGCAAGCCACATGACTATTTAGTTTCTTCTCACTGGGAAGGGGATATTGGTGAATTACTGACTGCTGCCACCTCCTCTCCTGTCCTGGCCTCTGTGCCATCGTGGCAGAAACCTGCCCCAGAGTGGGCTGCAGATTCTCCCGATGTGATTAGATGGAGCCCAGCCAGATAATTGTGGATTATCTCAAGGTCACTGATTAGCAACCTTAATCATATCTTCAACCTTAATCTTCATTTTCAGTGGGGTCATTATTCTGCCTACCACACAGTCTTTAAACACTTGTATCAAGAAAATAAAAGAATGAAATAAATTCACAATTCTAAAAGCAGAAGAACCACAACAAAGTAACCAAAATAATGTATAAGATTAAAAGCAGAATTTACCAGAGTATTAAAAAGCAGATCTAATTAATAAATCAAAATCATTTTTTGAAAAAAATTAACAAAGCAGAAATACTATGTAGCTTAATCAGGACAAAGGGGGAAAAAGCCCAAATATATAAAATTAGAAAGAATAAGCAGGAAATAATTGTTGAAACAAAAGAAATTTTAAAAATCTTGAGAGTCCATTATATACTTTTATGTAAAAAAGTTTGAAAAACTCTATGAAGTAGATAATTTCCTGAGAAAATACAGTTTATTAAATTGACTGTGTTAAAGATAGAAACTATTCATTTCTGTAGAAGAAATTTATTAAGGAACTACCCTTCCCCAAATAGGACCAAACAGGTCCAGATAATTTGACAAAGAGAGTTTCACCAAGCTTTTAAAGACCAGTTACGGTACTACATACATTGTCCTAGAGCATATAAAATAAAACTTCCAACTTATTTTTGTGAAGGAAGTGTATATTGACAACTGCATCTGATAGGGATAATACAAAAAGAGAGAATTACACAGCAGTGTCACCTACCAATACTGTTACAAAGGTACTTAATAAAGTATTAGTGAAGAGAATCCAACATCATAGTATGAAGATAATAAATCATGGTCAGATGAAATTTATCTGTGGAATGGAAGTTTGATTCAATATGAGTAAAAAAATTATGTGATTTTTTTTCCTTATAGATGCTTAAAAAAAAGGAAAGAGGGAATTGATGGATATTACATTCATATGATAAAATAGCACTCTCTTTATCTCTATCTACGTCTTTGCCCTAAACTCAGCTTCTTCCTTAATGTGCAAATACTGGAGCTATTTAAAATCAGGAACAAGGCAAAGAAATCTACTAACTTTAACATTGTGCTGGTGGCATTAACCACTGCAATTAGATAAGGTAAGTCAGAGACATAAAAATTAGAAGAAGTTAAAGTATTTCTACTTGCAGATAATATAAAAGTATTACTGGTAAGCCATAGGGAAGCAATAACAAAATGACTCAAACAATGAAAGAATTCAGAAGAGAAGCAAGGCATACAATTAGCATACGAACTCAATAGTGTTATTATACGCAAGCAATAACTATCTACAACAATAGTGAGGGAGAAAACTCCATTTACAATAGCAACAAAAGAGAAAATACTTAGGAGTAAAGTTAATAAGAAATTTGCAAAATTAATATGAAGAACATTTGAAAATAGCACTGAAACCCAAAGTAGGTTTGAACAAATGAAAAGCCATTTGTTGGTGGTTAGGAAGAATCAGTGTTACAGATGGGTCAGTTCTTCCTAATTTATAATTTTCCCTAAGTTAATTTATAAATTTAGCACAATCATGATGAAAATAATGTCAAGATTTTTTATGAAGCTAGACAAATGATCCTAACATTTACACACAAAAAACAAGCAAGAATAAAACAGGCAGACTCCCCAGTGGAGTAGAATAGAAAGTTCAGAAAAAGACACAAATATATATGAAAATTTAGTATATGAGAATAAAGGTGTCATCTCAGATGGATAATTGGACCAAAGATATTCTCCTTAATAAATATGCTGAAATGACTATGTAATCATTTGGATAAAATGTAAAGTTAGATCCATACTTCCTAAATACATAACAGTGAATGCCAAATGGAACAGGTTATACATGTAAATAATAATGCTATACAAGCAAATGAAGAGGTGTGGGTGAATTCCTCTATAAACTGGATATAGGGAAAGGCTTTCTAATGAGAACCCAAAGTCCAGATTCAATGAAAGATTAATAAATTTGACTTTGAGGAGCTAATATTTCTAGTATATAAAGAGCACTAAAAAACTAAGGGGAAAAATACAAAAGACTGGAAGACATAAACAGATAATTAATTTTTTTTTTTTTTTTGAGATGGAGTATCACTCTTGTCGCCCAGGCTGGAGTGCACTGGCGGGATCTTGGCTCACTGCAACTCCACCCCACTGGTTCAAGCGATTCTCCTGCTTCTGCCTTCCGAATAGCTGGGATTACAGGCGCCCACCACCACATTCAGTTAATTTTTGTATTTTTCATAGAGACGGGGTTTCACCATGTTGGCCAGGCTAGTCTTAAACTCCTGACCTCAGGTGATCTACCCACCTCAGCCTCCCAGAGTGCTGGGACTGCAGGTGTGAGCCATTGAACCTGGCTTATAAACTCTTACAGAAGAGAACTTGGCAGCATCTAACAAAACCGTGTATGTCTTTTCCATTTAGCTCTAAAGACGTACATTGACCCTGCACAGTGGCTCTTTGGGAGACAGAGGTGGGAGGATCACCTGAGGTCAGGAGTTTGAGACCTGCCTGGCCAGCATGGTGAATGCCCATCTCTATTAAACATACAAAAATTAGCCTGGTATGATGGTGGTGCCTGTAATCCCAGCTACTTGGGGGGCTAAGGCAGGAGAATCACTTGGACCCAGGAGGCAGAGGTTGCAATGAGCCGCCGAGATCCTGCAAATTGGGAAATGTAAACAATTGGTGACTCTGGGTAAAAGGTAAATGGGAGTTCTCTGTATTATTCTTGAGACATTTCTATAAATTTGCAATTAATTCAAAAGGTATCCAAAAAGCTAAATTTTTTCCCTTCCTTCCTTCCTTCCTTCCTTCCTTCCTTCCTTCCTTCCTTCCTCCCTCCCTCCCTCCCTCCTTCCCTCCCTCTCTCTTTCTCTTTCCCTCCCTCCCTCCCTTCTTTCCTCCCTTCTTTCCTTCCTTCCTTCTTTTCTTTCTTTGAAATGAAGTCTCACCCTGTCACCCAGGCTGGAGTGCAGTGGTGCAATCTCAGCTCACTGCAACCTCCGCCTCCTGGGGTCAAGTGATTCTCTTGCCTCAGCCTCCCTAGTAGCTGAGATTACAGGAGTGCACCACAATACCCAGCTGATTTTTGTATTTTCAGTTGAGATGGGGATTCACCATGTTGACCAGGCTGGTCTCCAACTCCTGACCTCAGGTGATCCTCCTCAGCCTCCCAAAGTGCCGTGATTACAGGTGTGAGGCACTGCCCCTAGTCAAAAGGCTAACATTTTTTTTTTTTTTTTTTTTTTTTTTTTTTAGATGGAGTTTTGCTTTTGTTGCCCAGCTTGGAATGCAATTACAGGATCTTGACTGAAACCTCTGCCTCCTGGGTTCAAGTGATTCTTCTGCCTCAGCCTTCTGAGTAGCTGGGATTACAGGCATGCACCACCATGCCTGGCTGATTTTGTATTTTTAATAGAGATGGGGTTTCTCTATCTTGGTCAGGCTGATCTTGAACTCCTGACCTCAGGTGTTCTGCCTGCCTCGGCCTCCCAAAGGGCTAAAGTTTTAAAGCTTAGTTAGATGTGACAATATATTTAAAAATGATAAGACATTATTTGGTAAGGGGGAAAGGAAGAGAGGAGAGATGTCCTCTGATGTGACCAAGAACTTTAATTGGAGGCAGCTCTTCCCATGGTGGCTTTTTCAGGAGCTGGAGTGACTTGCTGGTGGCACAAGGATGGCTCAGACGTCTTCTCCTCCTTCAGGGGAGTTTCTGAATCAGTCTTCATGACTCCTGTCCACCGCCCTCTTACTCATGGAGACACCCCAGCAGCTGTGTAGCATCAGGAACCCCCCATGGGTGCTGCCAGCTAGAATGCTCAGGGCCTCCCAATGAGACACGGCTGGAACGGCCAGTGATACTGGCTGTAGCGGTTCAAGTTTCTCTTGTAAAAATTTCTTTGGGAAGCATATGCATTCAGATCTGAAAGAAGAAAGGAAAAAATTACGCTGGGTGAAGGCCTTTGAATTGGGCTTGGATGAACTGTTCAGGTCGTTCATATCCGCTGCTGATCTTTCCTCATATATTTGAATCTCAAGGGACCCAAGGCAGCCCCTAGCCTAGGGCTTGGAGGTCTTTTGTGATAGGAGAAATTTCTTGCAGTGTGTTTTGTATTGTGCTACGCTGGTAGCTTCAGTAATGGTAGAGTCTCTTGCAGAGCACAGTGACATGGAAAGTAGGAGACTTGGGCCCATCCTGGCTCTGACACTTATGTCATTCCCTAGCGCACTCATGAGAAGTCCCTTTCCCTCTGTGAGCCTCAGCCTTGTGGCAGGTGGTAAGGGCAGAGGGAAGGAGTAGGCGAGCTAGGGAGGCTCCTTCCTTCTCAAGCTTGATTCAAGCAGAGCTGTTCCTCTTTGATCTTTTATAGTAATTGGACTCTGTGAAATTTTGTTTTCAAGGGTGTTTAGTTGTTAGGAGAATTCAAAATGACTGGGTCGGATAATCCTTAGTTCTCAACAGGACTCCTGGGGTGGCTGTGAGTTATGTAAGGCCATCTGGGCATAGAGTTGGTGCCCAGCAGTGTGGCTGCATGTCTTCTTACTGGGACGTGTCACTGTCCTGGGATTGGGCATCGGTTCTTCCATGACCCAGAGGCATTTCACTGTGAGTTGAACTACACTCAGTCCACAAGTGTTTTCTGGCATGCTTTACTTGCCATGAACCTGGCTGGATCTAGGGAAATAACAGGGAACAAAACTGATGTGGGCACTGCTCTCCTGGCACTTACTGTCTAGTGGCCAAACTAGATATCAAGTAAGCATATAAAAAATATACTTATGGGGTGAGGTGCCATGGCTCATGCCTGTAATCCCAGCACTTTGGGAGGCTGAGGCGGGTGGATCACGAGGCCAGGAGTTCAAGACCAGCCTGGCCAAGATGGTGAAACCCTGTCTCTACTAAAAATACAAAAATTAGCCAAGCACGGTGGCGCATGCCCGTAGTCCCAGCTACTCGGGGGGGCTGAGGCAGAGCATTGCCTGAATCCAAGAGGGGGAGGTTGCAGTGAGCCCAGATCGTGCCATTGCACTCCAGCCTGGGTGGCAGAGCAAGACTCCATCTCAAAAACAAAACAAAGCAAAACAAAACAAAACAAAAAAACAAGCAAACATAAACTTATAAGAAGATGCCACCAGGTACAGTGGTTACACCTGTAATCCCAGCACTTTGGGAGGCCAAGGTAGGTGGACAACAGGAGCTCAAGACCAGCCTGGCCAACATGGTGAAACCCTTTCTCTACTAAAAATACAAAAATTAGCTAGGCTTATTGGTGAGTGCCTGTAATCTCAGCTATTCAGGAGGCTGAGACAGGAAAATCGCTTGAACTTGGCAGGTGGAGTTTGCAGTGAGCCGAGGTTGGAGATTGTACTCTAGCCTGGACAACAGAGGGAGATTCCATCAGAAAGAAAGAAAAAAGGAAAGAAAGAGAGAAAAAGAAATAAACAGAGAAAGAAAAGATGATTCCACAAAGCCTTGGAAGGAAAATATGGATGTGTGCCCTTTCCCCGCAGACCTGCTCCTCCTCATGCACTTCCTAGCTTGGAAGATCTTGGAGTCAGGTCGTAGACTCTGGGGTCTCCCCAACGTGCTCTGGAATGTGACTGCAGTTACTGGATGGGAGCGATTCCATCTCTCCATCTCACTTAGCTGAAATATCAATGGGATCTGGTCATCAGTATCAGGCCCTCTGTTTGGGGGTTTCTGATCAGCGTTAGGACCCCAATTTGGGACTCACCCTCAAACTCACTGCTGCTGGAGGAAGCTCTCTTTTTCGGCTGGATCAGGGGTTGTCTCGAAGGCAAATGGGAGGCTGCGTTAATGTGCTTGGGATTTTGTCTGTTAAGCTCGTCCCTCTGAAGCTGCAAATCTGGCAAGGAGAATTCCACAGAGTTACGTGGGGAGGCTTAGGTGAGATCATGGAAGTGAGGTGTTTTGCAAGCTCTGAAGCCACGCACACAGGCAAGTGGTGGTTATTATGGGGTGGGGGCAGACCTGAAACTACCACCTCCTGTCCTCTGAGGACTTCCCCTCACAGGCAGGTGCTGGATTCAAAGTGTGTATTTAAAAAAACACATTATATTTGTACATATTTATGGGGTACATGTGAAATTTTGTTACATGCATAGAACATGTAATGATCAAGTCAGTGCAAAGTTTGTATTCTTTTTAAAACATAAACATTTTTCTATTTATAAATGTAATGCATACTCGCCATATAAAAGTTAGGAAGGCTGGGCGTGGTGGCTCACGCTTGTAATGCCAGCACTTTGGGAGGCTGAGGTGGGTGGATCACAAGGTCAGGAGATCGAGACTATCCTGGCTAACATGGTGAAACCCCATCTTTACTAAAAATACAAATAATTAGCCAGGTGTGGTGGCACGTGTCTGTAGTCCCAGCTACTCAGGAGGCTGAGGCAGGAGAATGGCTTGAACCCAGTAGATGGAGTTGCAGTGAGCTGAGATTGTGCCACTGCCCTCTGGCCTTGGTGGCAGAGTGAGACTCTGTCTCAATAAATAAATAAATAAATAAATAAAAGTTAAGAACTATTGAATAGTATGAAGGAGGAAAAAATGCCTCAAACACCTCTTCCTCCAGTTATTATCACAGTTCTGGTCGTTTCCTATCCGTTTTTACAGAGTCCATCATAGCCTATGTATTATGGATGAATTTTACTTATTTATTTATTTCTTTTTTGTGACAGGGATCTGCTCTGCTGCCCAGGCTGGAGTGCAGTGGTGCGATCATAGCTCATGGTAACCTCAAACTCCTGGGCTCAAGCAATCCCCTACCTCAGCCTCCTGAGTAGCTAGGACTCAGGCATGTGTCACTGCACCCAGCTAATATTTAAAGTTTTTTGTAGAGAACAGGAAGCTCACTATGTTGTCAGGCTGCTCTCGAACTGCTGGCCTCAAGTGATCCTTTAGCCTCAGCCTCCCAAAGTGCTAACATCACAGATGTGAGCCACCCCACCCAGCCCTTTACTTGGCTTTATTCAAATACTTTATAGCATAAACATTTTTCTCATGTCACTAAATTTAAAAAATTGTTGTGCAATATTCTAGTTTTTGAGTAATGTAAGATTTATTTAACTAAAGTTCTAATGTTGGAATTTTTTTTTTTTTTTTTTTGAGAGAGAGAGGTCTCACTCTGGCACCTAGGCTGGAGTGCAGTGGTGCAATCATGACTTACTGCAGCCTCTACCTCCTGGGCTCAAGCGATCCTCCCACCTCAGCCTCCCGAGTAGCTGAAATTACAGGTGTGCACCACCATGTCTCAGTAACTTTTTATTATTTGTAGAGGTGGGATCTTCCCATGTTGCTCAGGCTGGTCTTGAACTTCTGGGCTCAAGTGATCCTCCTGCCTCCCAAAGTGCTGGGGTTACAGATATGAGCCACTGCACCCCGCTCAAATTTTGCTGCTGTAAATACTATTGTGATGAACATTGTTGTATATGAGACTTTGTCTTTATATACTTTTAGGTTTCTAGAAGAACAACAAATAATTTTGTCAACAGTCTGAACTGTGTTCTGTAACACAGAGCTCTGTCATTTATTAGATGCATACCTTGACTAATTGCTTACCACCCACCTGCCTCTCCAGGTGTTCAATTTGAATACTAATGTCCACTTCTTAGAGTTTTTGTGGCGATTAAGTAATATCATTTGGCTGAGGGCGGTGTCTCATGCCTGTAATCCCAGCACTTTGGGAGGCTGAGGCGGGTGGATCACGAGGTCAGGAGTTCACAACCAGCTTGGCCAACATGGTGAAAACCCGTCTCTTCTAAAAATACAAAAATTAGCTGGGCATGGTGGCACACACCTGTAATCCCAGCTGCTCGGGAGGCTGAGGCAGGAGAATTGCTTGAACCTGGGAAGTGGAGGTTGCAGTGAGCCGAGATCACACCACTGCACTCCAGCCTGGGCTACAAAGCAAGTCTCCATCTTAAAAAAAAAAAAGAAAATCATTTTACTGTTAAAATGTGAAATATACACGCTGAAACAGTAAGGGATTTATCTGACCACAGCTGGGTCCCCAGTGCCTAGACAGTGCTTTGCATGTTATAGGGTCTCGGGAATTATTATCATTCTTACCTTGGGAAAAGGCATTGATATTTGTAAGGTTCTTGATTTTTATTGTGACTCTACTTTGAAGGGAAGTATTTTAAATACCCTCACATGTGGATTTCTGTCAAAATACACCTTTGTACTGTCCTATCTCTCAACGGGACTCTGCTAGGCTCCTGGCCATCTGTGCTCACCCCCTCCCACCTGTGTGAGTCCTAGCTTTGCCTGATCTTGAAAATAATGCTTCTTTTTCTTCTTTTTTTTTTTTTCTGTCTGAAATTGTTGATTTTGTTCCCTCATCTTCTCTGCTTGACCTCTTGTCCCGGATCTTCAAGAAGGATTTGAGGCCAGGCATGGTGGCTCACGCCTGTAATCCCAGCACTTTGGGAGTCTGAACTGGGTGGATCACAAGGTCAAGAGATAGAGACCATCCTGGCCAACATGGTGAAATCCCATTTCTACTAAAAATACAAAAATCAGCTGGGAGTGATGGTGCACACCTGTCATCCCAGCTGTTTGGGAAGCTGAGGCAGGAGAATCACTTGAATCCAGGAGGCAGAGGTTGCAGTGAGCCGAGATCGCACCATTGCACTCCAGCCTGGGCAACAAGAGTGAAACTCTGTCTCAAAAAAAAAAAAAAAAAAAAAAAAAAAAGAAGGATTTTATTATAAACTGGAAACCAGGGTGCCTTCTCTGTGTTTCTTTCCTCCCTCGACATGGTAGCCTAGGAAGTTTCATGTTTCAGATGCCCTGGCTAAAGATGAAAAAGGGATGGCTGGTTTGTACTAGACTTTGTGTGAGCAAGATATGCATTTTTATTTTGTAAACCATTGAGATTTCAAGGTTTATTTGTTTTAGCAGCAGAACATATTCTATCCTGATCAATACCTATATATTGTTTCTATATGTTGAATGCCTACTCTGTGCCGGGCCCTGAGCTAGGTGCTCATTTATATTGCCTCATTTTACCCTCCCAATGATCCTGAAAAATAATAATGTATTGTGAATATCCCTATTTTACAAGTAAGGACAGTGAGGCTCAGGGAGATCAAGTGACTTGCCCAACTTCTGTGGTAGAGCTGAGATTTGAACTAGCATGTATTGCTCTCAAAACAGGGATCTTCACTGCTATTTGTAGAGTCTTTAAACCAGTGCTTCTTAAAGTATAATGCACACTCAAATTTACCTGGAGATTCTGATTCAGTAGGTCTGGAGCAGGGTTTGAAAATGCATTTCTAACAAGCTCCGAAGTGATGCCAATATTGCTGGTCCATAGCCTACACTTTAATTACAAGAGTTTAAGTTCTCTTGTTTATTGGTTGAGTACTTAGCCATCCAACACCCACATCATTTTAAATTGGAATTATCACTCAAAAGATGAAGGCAGTCTGGGAGTATCCCAGCAGGCAGGGAGTGAGCATGATGAGGTTTAGAGAGGTCATGCAGAATGTCCCTATCTGATACCTACTTTGGGTGGATGGCTTGTGCTCTTGGGGTTGACTGGGAACCTTGGAGTCTTGGATGACATAGGCCTCTTGACAGTCCCTGCAGCATAAACAGAAGATCTTCGAGATCAGGCTTTGGTGGGCTGCTGTTGGAGGTAAAGAAATGAGGGGCATGGATTCTGATCTGAATTCCAGATGCCCATTGGAAATTGACTGTGGTGGGGTATCATTGGGACAGCCTCTCCCAAGGTATTAATGCTCCTCCCCTCTCCCGAATCTTCCGTAGCTTCCCTTGGCCAGCAGATCCAGGCCTTCTGCCTAGGCCATTTTTCCTATTCTGTACAAAGTTTTCTTACCCATGGAAAGGAGTGGAAACATCTACTCTGCCAGCTTTGTTTGCAGGGGTGCCTTGGTGAATCAGCCAATCTTGAGTTTGAGCCCAATTCACTGGGCTGGGCTGTTTCCTAAATAAACATAAGACTGTGGCTGAAAAATGCTCATCCTTCACCTATGTTCACACTCCAGGTAGGATCTGATGACAGGAAAATTCCACCTCACGCAGACACGCATGTAAACATGCTGAGGCTTCAGGTAGCTCTGTGTCCTACCCCACTCATAGGTTCATGTTCTTGGTAGATTACTTACCCTTTCTGAACTTCACTTTCATCATGTGAAAAATGAGAATAGCAGTGTCTACTTTGCCAGGGTAAAGAATCAAATATAGGAAAACTAATCCCTCTGGTTCTAGGTATACAATAAGTGCTCAATCAATGGTCATTCCATTTCCCTCCCTTCTCTTCATGTAACTCACTGGCTTCAAATTATCCCAGCTTGTCCAGGTTCTATGGGAAGGAAGCATATAGACTTGTAGGTTTAAATTCTGGTTTTGCCACTAATTTACTGGAGGGCTTGGGTAGGTCCATGTTTCTTTCTGTGTCTCAGGCTCCTCACCAGGAATAAGAAGTTAGGCTAGATTATCCCTTCAAGGATCTTTCTAGTTTTGAAGGTCCAGGATTATAAGGCCTTGCTTTAGTCCCAAATTCGTTTATTTGTATATCAACTTTTCCAAACCTCTGTATACATTCTGTTCTCACTCCCCTTCTTGTGCCAAAACCCCCCTTTAAAAGGAAATTCCTATCATGGTATTGGTTAGGCATCCCTCACAATACCTAATTCACTTCGCTTTGTGAGCTTTGCCTTCACTATAGCCACTTGAGTCTCACTTTCTCTACTGCTATATCCTGGCCTGGGCCACCATCATCTCTTCCCTGAATTATTGCAATAGCCTCATAGCTGGTCTCCTTATTTCTCTTACCCTGGCTTCCTTCATAATTAATACAAAAGCTGGGGTAGTTCTGTTAAAATGTATCATGTCACCCTTCAGCTCAAAAATTCCAGGGATTGGCAAAAATGGGTATAGTAGATGGAGAGATATAGTATGGAAGGAAGAACTGGAAACACAAATAGAAATTCTAGTTCTTTTTTCTTTTTTTTTGAGAGGGAGTCTCACTCTGTCACCTAGGCTAGAGTGCAGTGGCGTGATCTCGGCTCACTGCAACTTCCACCTCCTGGGTTCAAGTGATTCTCCTCCCTCAGTCTCCTGAGTAGCTGGGACTACGGCATGTGCTACCACACCTGGCTAATTTTTGTATTTGTAGTAGAGACGGGTTTCACTATGTTGGCCAGGCTGGTCTTGAACTCCTGACCTTGTGGTCCACCTGCCTCAGCCTCCCAAAGTGCTGGCATTACAGGCATGAGCCACTGCGTCCGGCCAAAATTCTAATTCTATAAAAACCAGTAGCTGAAGAAAATATGTATTGGGTAGGGTTAACAACAGATTGGACAAAGTAAAAGTAATGATCAGTAAACTTGCAAAAAGTTCAATAGAAATGATCCAAACTGAAGCAGAGAAAGAAAAAAAGATTTAAAAAGGATGAAGAGTACACCACTGACCCGAGGGAAGCTATCAGGCTGTCAGACATACACGTGTGACTGGACTCTCAGAAGGACCAAGGGCAGAAAAAATATTTGAAGCAATCGTGGCTGAAAATTTACCAAATTTGATGGAAAGCATCAGCATAAGTACTCAGTGGGCACCAAACATGAAAAACAAAAAGAAAATCATACCTAAGCTCATTTTAGTCAAATGGCTAAAAATGAAACTAAAGAACAGGACCTTAAAACAACTGGAATAAATAAGGATGAAAAAAAGAAACTGTAAACCTTTTACTTCATATTCCATGAAAATATCCTTCAATAATTAAGGCAACATGAAGATGCTGTAAGATAAACAAAAATAGAATTTGTCTTTAGAAGACCCAGGCTGTAAAAAATATTAAAAGATCGAAGGAAACTGATACCAGATGGAAATTCACATTTGCAGAAAGGGATGAATAGGATAAGAAATGGCAAATGGTGGTAAATGTAAATTTTTTTTTTTTGAGACAAAGTTTCACTGTGTCACCCAGGCTGGAGTACAGTGGCGTGATCACAGCTCACTGGAGCCTCAAACTCCTGGGCTCACGTGATCCTCCTGCTTCAGCCTCCCCAGTAGCTGGGACTACAGGCACGCGCCACCACGCCTGGCTAATTTTTGTATTTTTTGTAGATTCAGGGTCTCCCTATGTAGCCCAGGCTGGTCTTGAACTCCTGGGCTCAAGTGATCCTCTCACCTTGGCCTCAAAAAGTGCTGGGATTGCAGGAATGAACCACTGCACCTAGCCAAAAATATTTTTTTCTCTTAGTCTTTCTTTTCTCCAAAATTGTTCAGTGGTTTTGCATATTCCTCAGAAGAAAAACCAAAGTTCTCACCTGGGTCTTAAGATATTCTGTAATCTAATCATCCTTCTTCCCTCCTCCTCCTGCCTACCCACAACCTTTATCACCAACTCTGTCTTTTAATTCCTTCAATTCCCTAATTCCATTTGCCCCCTTCCTGAGTTTTAAAGCATAGCAAGCTCTCAACTCAGAAATTGGTGCTTGTTTTACTCTCTGCCTGGAATGAAGTTCTCTTAGATAATAACATTCTGTCATTACCTTCAAGTGTTTGCTTAAATGTTACCTTTTCTATTGAGACTTTCTCTGTCCATTGTATTTAATATTATACCCCCTTGTACTTCATAATATTTTCCTCACTTCTTTTCAGACCCTTCCTTCCTTCCTTCTTTTTGTCCTCCCTTCCTTCTTTCCTTCCTCTCTTTCTTTCCTTTTCTTTCCTTTCTTCTTTTCTTCCTTCCTCTCTTTCTTTCTTTCTTTCTTTCCTTCTTTCTTTCTTTCTTTCTTTCTTTCTTTCTTTCTTTCTTTCTTTC